TTACTTGAAAAGCCTCCTCTCTTTTCATGTGCTTTCAGTGTCCAAGATGCAGTGTACAGTGTTGCCATTAGGCAGCAACTATGTGTAGGCTCAGAGCACAGCTGGGATGTACAAAACCATTGGGTAGGAAGGGATGCAAGGGAAGAGCATGTGTGATGAGACTTAAAACAGAAATACCTGGCAAGAAGGGAAGTCTGGAATAAGCAAGGACAGGGCTAGTTAATGCAGACAGAGTTATGCAGTGGATGCAGAGGAGGGTAGCACAAAAGTGAGGGGGCAATTGGTCAGGGTGGTGGGAGCCATGTGTTTGCACCTGCTCCAGCAAAGGCTTTTAAAGGAAGGAGACAGGTTTTGTTGGGGGAAACACTTGGGTTCCCTTGTTGCTGAACTGAGTCTGCTCTTTCCTCAGAGCTGCTGGCAGAGGCAGTAGCTGTGCATGTTTGCACTGGAGCCTTGCTGGTGGGAGGGGGGGGGAGAGGAACCAAGCCCAGAGTCTAGTGGTGGGATGAAGTCCTTGACAAGGACATGCTGAAGGAAACTGGGGAGGAAGAAGAATACCCCAAGGATGTTCTTGGGGTGAAGGTTCAAATAAGCTATGGCTGACAGGATGGGAGCACAGCCATTGTTTTGAGCTTTGTTTCAGGAAACAGCAGGGAGCTCTGGCAGGAGGAACCTGGTGAAGTGCCAAGGCAGAAGCTGGTTCAGGGAGGGTCACATTGGCAAAGAGGGACTCGTGAACACTAGGAGTAAGCTGCCCTCTGATTTCAGCAGCAAGGAAGGAGGCTGGTGATAGCTAGAGCCTTAGTGGGGAAAAGGGCCAGAGAACTGGAGCTGGGACAGAGACTTCACCTCACTTGTGTGGCTGAGAAGATGGGCCACCATGGCAAGCACTAGGACTAGGAAAGGAGAGCAGAGGTCTTCTAGCCACTGTAACTGGGGAATGGAAGCAGGGGGAAAAGTCACATTGCAATCTCTAGCTTTCATCATGTTTTCTCTAGTTTCTCTCTTTGTAGATGGAGTACAAGAGGGTTTGAGGAATGAATCTGAGCTGCCCTGCTCAGACCAACACTGCCAGTCCTAAATGCTTGAGTGTCTCTTCCCCCCTTTTAAAAATATCAGAATTTTCTTTCTGCTCCTGCTTGTATTGGACTACCCTGAATGCTCACTTTTCCAACTTTTGCCATGAAAAACTACTTTTTGAAGAAAAAGCTGAGCTGCTTAAATCATAAAATTCTAAGAATTGGCATTAAGACCCTGGACACAGGGTAACTCAGATCTCTGCTGGGCTAGGCTGAGGGAAATGTGCAGAGGGATTTTATGTTGGCCTCAGTGTAAACCAGGAACCTGAACTGGTGGTATGTGCTCTGTGACGGATCAGTTCAAACTCTGCTGGGTATGCCATGCCAAATTGCATTAGCCTTTCATTTATCACTGTTTGGCAACAGTAATGAAACCAGGAGTATTTCAGTTTTCTAAGCAGAACTGACCCTTTAGAGGGAGGTTTGATGCTTCAAATGCTTCAGTGTCATTTTGTAAACCAAAATATCTTTTTTAATATGTGGCTCTGGGAACTTAACTGAGGTAAATCTGTGGGGGCTGGTCATATCCTTTATCAGACCAGCTGGCACAGCTGCTTGAACAGATGAGTTTTAGGTCAACCAAACCCTTTTTTGGTGTTGCACAGGTATGGTTCATTTCTTCTAGCTAAACAAATATATTCTTATGGTATCTGCTTGCTGGTTGGGATTATCTAGCTTGGCCTGCAGGTGAACCCTGAGGGGCTCCCCTGGGGTCCTGGTCCCTCAGTCATTGAGGTCGGGACCTGGACTGAGTGTGTCCTGTCCCTTTTCTCCTTCCCTGAAAACCAGGGTGTGGAGAAGGAGGAGGGAGGGTTCAGCTGGAAAAATACCATGTATGTAAAAATCAAATTCTTCTGGGGAAAACTTCTAGAGAATGCTGGTTTTATTTGTTTGAAGAGCAGCTCTTCCAACCTTTCTCTGCCCTTTGCTCTCTGCAGTACCAGCAGTAAACCTCACTGGGATTTTCTGCAGGTCAGGAAGGAATAGAGAAGAGTTGCTGGTTGCAGCTCACAGGTTCAAAGAGCTTGTTCTCAGATTGGGGGCAGCCTGGAGGCTGAAAAGACTCATCCTTGGGGCCATCCCAAGAGACTTTTTCCGGAGCGGAGACTAGCTGAGTGCTGTCTGCAGGGCTTGAGGTGAGCTTCAGAATGGGAATCCAACATGATTTGAGTTGCTGTGTCAGTGGCAATAATAGAGCTTCTAGAGCTGGGAAGTAAAAAGCATGTAAATGATGGATTAAAGAAATACTAGTATTTCTTGCTTTCAGCTTTGGAAACAAGGAGCTAGTTTTGTTGTGAGAAAGTGACCTCAAAACACTTAAATGTGCAGACTGTAAGTAGTGCAAGTGATTTTAAGAAAACCCCAAACAATGAGGCAAAAAATTCTGCTGAATTTGACAGTGAGAAAATCGCCCTTGTTCAAGTCATCTTAGCATCCCTCCTGCCCTGGGTCACTTCCTGCTGCACAGAAACTGCTCAGCTGTTCTGTTTTCACATACTAAATTTCTTTCCAGCTAAAATTAAGGCGGTTCTTGTGAAAGAAGTGAATAGAAATTGTATAGCCTGTGACTCTGGCCTTGTTACTGTCAACACACTGAAAACCCACATTGCGACACAGCTGCAATAGCCAGAAAATGTATTTCTGCTTCCCAGGCTTGACTCTCTGTAGTTTGATCTTTGCTAAATGTCAAGTGTGAGCCTTAACTCTGTTTCCTGGATCACAGGCACCTTCTGCTTGAGCTGATTTCACGCATGACTGCTAGAGTGGTTTTACCATGTGCCAATACTAATACACTGATAAAGGAACAAAGTGGGAACTTGGACTACTTCAAGTATTGCAGGCAGCCTTACTAGTTTTGTGGATGATGCAGTTAAAAATGAAGGTAAAGACTGTAGATTGCAATGACGAGGGCTGCAAGGGGAATGCATTGCTCCATTGGGAGGGCATAGGACCTCATTTTGTGGGGGATAGCAGGGAAAGAAGAAGTGAAGGTATGTTCAAAGACTTGGTATCTTGCCTAATATGACAAATAGAAACTGGTAAGCTTGATCTTTAAGTGTTATGGCTCACTGATGTCAACTGTGCTTGCTTGAGTGCCTTGCTTTTCTCAGGAACTAGCAAATCCCTAGGATTTGCAGGACCTGCCACAACCAGGACTTAACAAATCCCCTGTTGTCAAAGCTCTTCTGGTGGCAGAGCCTTGGGATGATCCAGCTGGGTGATATCATAGAGATGGCTGCTTTCTGCATGCCATAATATTGCATGAGCTCCTATGGATAAATAATGCAGATCTGCTAGTATCCTGTGCTCCCCAGTTAAGCTCCCACTGCTTCCAGCAAGAGGCTGGGGCTCTCTTCTGGCTCATGAACAAGGGGCGATCCTGCTTCCCAAGGGAAGCTACTAGCTCCCCTCCAGTCCAGCTTATGGCACGTCTGCCAAGAAGTGCAACCAGCTCTCTGCTGGCGGGCATCTCCTCTGCGGCCTGGCCTTTGCTTTTCCTATCCAGCTGTCTGCCCGGACGGTGGATGGGGCTGCTCCCTGACCTTTGCTGGCAGCTGTGTCCTGGGATGCCTGGCCCTGGGACAGTTGCTCCTATCCTGTTTTTCAGTCGGGGCTGGCAATAATTTCATGGTCCTGGCTGCTGAACTGCTCTGTGCCCTGTGGAAATGCTCCATGTGCCACAGCAGAATTACTGTAACTGAGCTGAATTAGCATATGAATTATTGTAGGTTGGGCTCTTTAGGCTTAGGTCTCCTGGGGATTTTTTCCTAACTAATGGTGCTAAAATGCATTTAGCAATAGGATCCAGTCCTACACCCACCCCTGGGATCACAATGTGTTTGCTGGCTGCTCCGGGCACCCTCGTGTGGCCCTGCCAGATGTAGGACTGTTTTTCCCTATTTCCTAACAGGACTGCTGACGATACCCTGAAGAGGGGGAGGAAAAATCCATTGGAAAATGGGTGAGGGGAAAATATTGCTAGTGACACCACAATGTGGGTTTTATTATCAGCCTGAAATGAAAATCTGCAGAAATGCATTAGATGAAGCAGTTCAAAACCTGCTTTCCCTTTTAGTTGCTTAATTTGAGGTAGTGGAATAAGCACCTCCCCTCCTGCTGCCTATAGGAAATGGCGTTGTTTGGGGAAGCAGCTTTAGGGAGAACTCTGTTTTAAGAAAAACCTGAACTGAAATGGCTTTGACTTTTTCCATGTTTTATTTCCCTATCTGTGTGGGCTTTGTGTGCTTGCATGTGGGGGTGGGGTGTTTTCTCCTTCCCTCTGAGCTTGCCCTGCCCTCGAACAGGAAGTATGCAGGAAACACGCACACCTCCCCGGATGGATGCTGCAGACCAGAGGCATGTAGCTTTTCTTTAGCTGCTTCTCATGGAGGGCCTCTTGCTTTGCTGGCATCGTTCCCTCCTGCCCCTCAGCACCGTTTCCCTGCAGCCCCTTTGCATCCCCCCTTAGCCAAAATGGCTCTGCTGGCTTCCTTCAGCTGCCATGGCTGCAGCAGATCTGAGGGGGGCCCTCTGAGGAGGAGGGTGTGCTCCCTGCTTCCCCTGCTGTGTGGTGCTCTGGGGCCCCCATGGCCTGCATATCCCCTTGTCCTGGGCGTGATGTCAGGGGTATTGAAGCCTAGCTAGATAAATGTGTTGGACATGGCCGCTTGTTCCTGAGACGGCAGGTATCTGAAATTTGGGTGGCTGAAGGTATAGTTTCTGGAGTGTGCAGGCCCCTTTCCCAGAGGTCTCTGTGGTGGTCAGAAGATCGCAGGGTGTTGCTAGATGTGCTGTCCCTGATGTCTAGAGACATGCCTGGTGTGCATGTGATGGACTTCTGACTCCAGCTGGCATCCCTGCCCTGAAGGGTCCCTGTCAGCCAGTGTCAGTTGTGTGACCAAGCTGTTTATTTCATTCCAGATGAGCCACCGAGGGAGGAAGTGAGGACAGTGACGGGGACTGCTCCTACCTCAGTGCTGCTCCTGGACAGGGTGAGGGTGCTGACCCAAAGGAAAAACTTTCCTTAAAAAAAGCACTGACCTTGCTTGTCTCCCCAAGGCAGCTGGCCTCTTAGTATCACAGCCAACATATTTGCTGTGTTCATTAGCAGATTAGTCAGCAATCTGCAAAGGTCAGAGGTGCTTGGTAGCTATGGTTTCTTCAAGACAGAAGCATCTAAGGAATGATATTTAAAAAAAAAATCTCCATGGGGGTATTAGCTTCAATTTTACATGCTAATCCCTCCTGGGGACTTGTTTGGCCCCTGTGGCCTTAACAGCCCTCTCTCATAAAACCCTTGAGATAAAGTTGCGCTCTCCTCTTTTTAGAGGAGAGAAGTGGTAAGGAAATGTCTGTGGGGTGCCAAGCCATTGCTTGACCACTGGATCCGATTTCTGTGCTATAGTTCTTCACCAAAATAGCACAAGGATACAGCTGGTGCTGACAGACACAATTTCTACTTTGTTTATTGTCTGTAAGTAGACAAAACAGATGAAGGAAGAAGCTTGTCCAAGATCTCCTGGAGTCTCTACGAGGGCTGGGAACTGAATTCACATTTCATGAGAATGGCTCTTGGTCTCAACAGATGATTCTTTTCCATGAAAAGAATCACAGCTAATTTGGGGGGAGAGGGAGGACACTCTTTTGGCTTACATTAACCCTGCTCAGTCTCATCCTCCTCTTCAAGTGTCAGTGCTCAGTGGGAGTTTGAGAAGCTCCTGCCTGAAAGTCCTTCTGGGCCTTGCAGCTTGGACTGCTTTCTTCCTCTATTTTTGTGTTGCCAGAGGGGGCGAGGCTTTGGGTTTTCCTTGTAGGGCTCTTTCCTTGAGGTCTGCATAGAGCCCCTCTTGACCTACTAGGTCAGTGCTAATCCTGCTTTACTGATAACTCTTATTCTTTTCTTCTTTGTCATCTTCCTTCTCCACCAGGTCTCTACCTTTCACTCCTTTCCTGCCCTAGACACCTGCATAGCTCTGCTTGGAGCTGCTGGATGGGAACACCTTAGTTTCATCTTCCCTGAAAGGGTTGTCCATTCACTGTGGCCCTTGGTGTGAAGGTTGTGGACCCACAAGGACATGCCTCTTTGCAGAACCCATGTAATATGCTGCTTTTCATACACCCAATAGCTTTCTAGTGTTGGGGCCTGAACTTGTGCTTCTGGGAAGTTGGATCTGATGTAGACTTCTAGTTATGCTACTAAGGGCTGAGGGTTGTTGCCTCTGGGTTGTAGTATTGTTTTTTCCTAACCTTTAACATCTTTAAACTTACTCTTCCCCCTTTTATTTTATTACCCTTTTTTAGTACCTATATGCTTAAACAGCTTCTCTCTGCTGACAAAGCAGTGCAGAAATGCCAGATGGACTGGGTTGGCTTCTGCTTGGATTTTCATGCTCCAAAAATCCAGCTCAGTCACATTTTTCTCTGCTGCAGTGGGACCATGGAAGGAAAAGAGGCTTCACAGAGTCATCACTCAGAGGAGAGCAGTATGTTGGACCTACCCTCTGCTTGTGACCTAGCAGAGAATTTTCTGCCTCCCCACAGCGCAGAAAACAGTGAGGAGCCTTGCTTTTCTGTGGATACGCTTCCCTCTCCATCCACAGGTAACAGCTCCTGCATCTCCATGTGTTCTTTCTGCAGTTGATGCGTATTTATTTAGGCAGTTTGCCTGAATAAGCAACAGTAGTTTGCTACCAGTATGTCTGCCTTGGCTTGAAACATGGTTTACCAGAGCTACAGTCCTTTCCTGCTTGATGAATACAGCATGTGCTGTGGCCTAATGAAACACAGGAGAGCATTTCAGAGGATGCTGTCACCTGCTAATGCTTTGACAACATTTTCTTCATATTCAGTGCCCTCTCAGAGGAAGAGGGTTGCTTGAACCAAGCAAGCCACAGAGCAATCCTGGAGCTCTTCTAGGCATTGTCAGGAAATAGTGTCTTAAAGTAGTATGGTCAGTAACAAAACTTCTTAAGCTTTCCCTCTTATTCTCTTCACATGCTTATGCTGCATCTTCCATGGCCTCTATAGTTGGTTACTTTAATTTTATAACAGTGAATGTTTGCTTGTGCTAAGACATGAGTGTGATGAACTGCTTTGGTTTGACTCCTGGGAGACAGCAGACTTCTCACTTGAGGGCTTTTTCCTGCAGAAAAAGTAATTCAGGCCAGGCTGCATCCTCTCAGGATAGTAGCATATTTGAGAAGACCAAATAATAGCTGGCACACTCCAATTTCTGAATGCTTAAACTTTTATAACCTTCAAGCTTGTTAAAATCGTTCTTAGTTTGGAGTTTTTATACTAATACTGTTTTACTTCTGCATCTCGAGTGACCCAGGGCAGTGTCCCTTTTCTAAGGAAACTTTTATTCATGTAGTTTGCTATTCTAACTGTGAATCTTTGGGCAGGTGTGTTAAAATCATTTTAGCACTATGAAAAAGTCATTGGGTAGCCATTGTCAGTGGGTGACAGACTTCCAGATTTTCTTATCACAGAGCAACTGATCAGTTGTCTGAAGATCTGCTCTTCAGTTTGGACATTAGTATAGAGTTGAGGTCTAGAGATGGTTGCAAACTCAGGTTTTAGTGGGACACAGGCTTTTCAGTGAATCTTCTATTTTCTGCAATGAACCAAGAATTTTCATAAACCTAGATATTTACAAGACTTAAAGCTGTCTGATTTTGGTGAAAAGTTGGGTCTTTGGAAACAAGGTTAGTACTCTTGCAGTGCTCTACTCTAGATCTTTGCAACAGGCCTTTATTCCTTGCTCTCCAGCTTTTGTTTCTTGCTACTGACATCTGGCTTGGCTGTGCTGGCAACGCTGTTTGGCATCGGGAAGGATTTGTCTTGTGTGTCTCTAATGTTAAATCAGAAGGCACTGGCCCAGTAACATTTCTCGTCATATATTTGTACCTGCTGGACTGAGGGCTAAGATGGATTGTAGCAATTATATTTAATCTTGGGAGGAAAAAAATTTGATAAGCAAATGTGGATATCTTTTCTGGAGATGGTTTGTGAAGGCAAGGAAGAGACTTTTGTCTGCAGGCTGAGCAGGTGGAACTTCACTGTTTGATTGCTTTGGAGTCTTTAGTAGTGTATGGAGCTTGGTTCCTCTTCCTCCTCTGGCACTAACTAGGTGGCTTGCTTTGGCCTGTAGTAGTAGCTTGGAGTTGGACATGTGAGTATTTTCAGTGGGGATTCCAGTAGTTGCAGGCTAAACAAGTAGAACAGCAAGATGTATCAAATTAATCTAGCTCTGATGTTGACTACTTGCCTGTGCAATTGTATCCACTCTGTTTGTGGGGACATCCAGACCCAGTAATGATATGGGTAACCAATGGATACCCAAAGCAATGGATCAAATCCTTGCTTTGATTTTTTTTTCCTATTGAAGATGCAGACCAGGAAGCCATATGGCTTGTTACTAATGAGGCAGATCTACTGTATCCACTAGTTTAAGCTGTGTTCTGCATCAGAAATAGTGTGTTTTGAGGTTTTTGCTCCAGATAGTCAGAGTAGTGACCACCCCTACAAAGAATGCCTGTCCTGATCAAACCTTTTCCTCTCCCTGGGAGAGAAGATATGTGGTATTCCTCTAACAGTGCAGCAGACTGGAAGGCATTTGTCTATTCAGATTTCACAGGTATGAAGAAATTCTAAGAGCTGTGAGGCATTTTTGTAATGCGTGTAGGACTGCCTTAATTACTCCAACACCCTTTAGCAAGGCTTGGGGTGACTGGACTTGATTGCAGTGATGAATAGGATGCATAGAAGAACTGTGTAAGCACTCAGTGGTCCCAAGACTGGTTTGAGGCATAGCTGTGGTGACATATGGAGACAGATACACAGCCCTAAGCCCAAATGAAACTGCAGTGCCAGGTGAGCTGTCTGCTGTGCGTGTGTGGAATACGTAGCTAGAGCTCAGTATCGAGGTATGCTGAGAGGCTGGCCCTGCATCCTTGCCCTGCATTCCTACTAAGTATCACACTGGACCCATTTATGCTCTGGACAGCTTGGTTATTTTCTCTTTATAACCAACCAGTATCAAACAAATACTTATTCACTAAAACTCTTTTCTAAAGCATTTTTGGCTTACTAATTCAATCAGAGTAGTCATTTAAGTCCTGCTTTATTACTGTAGAATTGCCTGTGCCAGCCTTTCTTGGACAAGCAAATTCTATCAAATATCTTGGATGAGGAAAATACTTTGCTCATTTGCTTTCTCAGGAGATATTGTAAGCTGCCAGTGTGACACGAGGAAAATTGAGGGTTGGGGCGGCCGCAGGTAGTACCCCACAGAATGAGGGCCAGGAGATTGCCAGAAGTTTTCTTTGTGTTAGGGATGGGGATCTCTTCACTGATTTAAAAGCACTTCAAAAGGGTGATTAGGTCTCTGGGAATGTGACAGCTTCTTTAGCAGAGAAGCAGACTGCAGAGTTGAGTATGGACTGGGACTGACTAAAATACCATGCCATTCCACCTTCAGGAGTGGGGAATGAATATGTAGGTAGTCCTGGTGCCTGAGTCACTAGTAATAGGTCTTATTCATCTCGAGAGGCTACATCCCTCATAATAGCAGAAGATGATATCCATTAGCCATGAAAACAGGGCCTTGTGAAAGCAGGCGTCCCTAGGCAAGAAAACAGGTTCTGTGGAAGTACTGCTAAATATTTAAGTTACATATGAATGAGTGATTTTAGATTTGTGTGGGAGTGAATGTTCTGTTCCTGTAACAGTTCTGGATGTGTGTACTTCTGGCTTAATGTCATAGTGAAGGTGAGTATTTGTTAGCAGTAGAATGAGAAAATTAAACAAGATCAATGAGCTTTTCAGTATGTTTCAGTTTCTTATATGCCCCTTCATATCTGAAAGCTAAACTAGAAACACTATAAACAATGAAGTTTGTTATCTGCTGCAGCAATAGCTTACTGGTTCCTCTGGACTGAGAAGTTGCCAACAAAAGTTCCTTTTTAAAAAAGCCATGATTTTTGAACTGTTCTGTTTTCTGGGTTTTCAGTCAACCAGGCATGTGTGCTGAACTAGGCAGAGATTTCCACCTGGCTGACACAGCCCTCAGTTCTGTGGGCAACAGATTTTTTTCTGAAGGAACTGCTGCAGGTGCCCAATGAGTTCATATGCTTCATTTTGTGGTGGGTTGTTATGTCTGTTATTAGCAACTAAAGAGTCACATTATGTAGATGCATGCGTTTGACTTGTCCTTGTGTGCTCTTTGCTGTTTACCATGTTTGCTCACCTGTTAAGAGTTGCTCAATGTCCCTTACAGATTTGGGTTGTGTTTACTAGTTGTCTGGCACAGCCTAGGCTTTTTCTGTATAGGAGTCATGCATGTGTGCTGACAGAAGCTGGAGAAGAAAGGAGCAGGCTGTACTTTTAATGTCAGCAGCTGCCTTTCTGTGTTAGTCCTTGATGGATGCTTGGCGAGTTACTTCAGCACTGAATTTGGGGTATTCGTTCATTATTCAGGACGCTATGGAAATTACAGCTTGGCTGCCGGATGCTGCTCCTAACTAAAGTAGTGGAATTTCCAAAACTGCTTTTGTCTGGTCAAGTTGAACATAAAACCTGAAGGCTATAGACCTTTATATAAAGTCTTATTTAAAAGCTCTGTATTAACTTTGCAACTCCAAAACACGTGTGATCTTTAGTTCAGCTTTGACTCAGGTTAAACATGAATTAAAACTTCTGCATGTCACAACAACCAGAACTGCAAGAAACTTCTGCTGCAGTCTCCATTTACCAAAGATTTTTCACCTGAAGAATATCTCACTTTTTGGCCTGCTGTGGGGATGAAGGGGAGGGTACTATAGGAAGTTGTACATCGTGCTCTTCCAGTGAACCTCCTCACGCTGCAGGGAGTTAACTTGCAAACCCACAGTTTGAACTGTGCTCCTGAGCACTGTAGGAAATGATCAGATTTTTTTAGGAGGATGACCACCTGTGCCTAACTACCTTGGCCTTGCTGAAGGTTGGGTTTTTTTTAGTTTGTTTCCTGCTGCCCTCTAGTGAGCAACATGACTGGTTTCTGATGCTCCTGGTCTTGAATGTGTGACTTAGAGGGCTGGTAATGTCCTACATTTGTCTACTATGATTACAGCTGTACTGGGATTGGATTTTGCTGTGGGAACAAGGGATCTTTAAAGCTTGGTTATTTTGGGGCTTCTGGGTGCAAACATGATCTGTGATCCTCTCAAAGTTCTGTTTTTAACTATCTCTGTTTATCCCTGATACTGGTGTAAACATCCACTTGCTTATCAAGGCAGGTGACTTATGTTAAACTTAGAAGCAATGAAGCATCTATTTTCAGGTGAGAGTCTGTTTCTTAACTGATAGCATCTAACCAAGTATACTCTTTCAAATATGATCAAAATGAGAAAATTTCAGTATTGAGAGAAACTTCACAAGAAGAAAAAAGCAGTGAAATGTTTCAGATACTGATGTTTCTAGAGACCTTGTGATCCAGTGGTCCAGTCTTGATGGACTTGAATTCATACAGCTCTGAAGTCATGGCCAGGCCCTCAGGTGGGCAACTTTGTGGTCTTGATGAGTTTTGCAGGGTTAACTTGCCAAGCGTTTTTGTGGTACA